CTCTCAATCTCGGAGCAAGGTGTAATGGTGTGTGTTTTAGTGCAAAAGTAAGGCCAAAATACACTTTTGGGCTACCAAACACACACTAAGGGAGGAGAGAGAGGGAAATATAGAGAGAGATGATATATCTAACAGATATATGTATATGGGCTCTAGTTTTTAGGTTTAAAACTCCCAACCTTTAACAATGGAGGAGGAGGGCTCTATATATAGCCTAAGCAAATGGTTCTTGGCTTCTCCAAGAAGCCAAGTGAAAGGGGCAAAGGGTGCAAAGGAGTCTAGGATTCTTGGAGAAGCTAAAACAGCTGGCCAAGCTTCTCCAAGAAGCTTAGCCAAGGGTTCATCCTTCTAGAAGGATCCAAAGGGGTTCAAAGGCTAATACCAGCCAGAAACTGCACGGGGAGGAGTGATGGTGCATTCCAGCTGGCATGCACCATGCCTCAAGGGTGCAAAGGAGTCACACCGGCCAACAAAATATGTCACCGGCAAAGAAAATTGCCGATCGGTAGTATATTATGCCGACCGGCCATTTATTTGAAGAAACCAAGGCCGGTGGCACCCCTGAACAACCGGTGATGTGTGGGGATGCCTCACAAGGCATTCTCTGCCCCTCCAAGGCAAAACACAAGTGTTTGGTATAAAACCAGACACTAAACAAGCGAGTTCGGAGATCCCGAGGCAAGGCGCGTAGCCGAGACCTCCGGGAACTCCAAATGAACACAAACATGGATGATCACCGGGTGTCCAAACGGTGACGTCCAAGTCTTGAGGACGGTCAAAAATGGGATGTCTACAGTCTCCAACCAATATAATTATCATACAAATACATTTGCTTGCCATTTTAAGAAAATTTCGTCCGTGGGAATCGATATCTATGTATACGCGCGGTTTTTAGGACTTTCACCCTGGACACACAAGCCATCTTAGTTTAATGGAGTTCATCCCCTTTCTTCTTCCAAACATGGTGTATATCCCATTTCTCCTCCCAAATATCATTCATATACAATGTATATAAATCATAATCATGTTCAATGATAACGACTAAGAGATTAGTTTTAATTCGCCTAATCCTCATGTAATTTCTACAACAAACATGGCTATCATCCACCAATAGCCCAAAACAGATATTTTTAAACAGATATACAATCTCCACAACAGATAGATTATCCAAATTTCCATAGATGAGAGATAATACATATCTAACTCCACCATTCACATAAACATCCATCTAATTTCATATTCCCAATACCAATTTCATTTATTTATACCAAACAATTATTCGAGACATTTTAAGGCAAACCTCCATTTCCAGCATCCACTCCAAGTACCAAAATCAATCATTTTAACATAGCATAAGCTCATATTTACTCCCTTAATCATTTCCAATACATTCATTAAAAAACCTCTCAAATCAAAACCCTAGGTTTGTCCAAAATCACCTCAAATCCCAATATTTCTTACACTCAACAAATAATTATGTTAAAACTTATAAAAGAGTGTAGCAAGTTCCTCCCTCAAGGTTACGAGATGAACAAGACAAGGTGAAAACTTCAACAATGCCGAAACCAAGTTTTAATCGGATCAAAATGGAGCTCTAGGAATGCTCTAGCTTTTTCTCAAAAATACTAAGGTAGAGAACCCAATGGATCTAGGTGAAAATGTAGAGGGAATGTGAGTTTTAGAGAGAGAGACTCTACATCTAGGGTTTTGAAATGTTTTAGAGAAAGAAAGAGTTGAAAAAGTAATGTAAAATGTGGTTGTTACGATCTGATATACACACAATCCACTCGAGCGTCAGACACAATAAGTTGTTTCGTTTAAATGCAAGAAGTGATGCTCGAGTACAAAATGCACACTCCTAATAGTTTTGCAGACAACATACTAATCGCTCGAGCACAAGAAAGACAGCTCAAGCGCCCACTCACTCAAGTGTAGGAAACTTCGCTCGAGCGTAAAATACAGCCTTCCAGTAGTTTTGCAGACCTACAAAAGTACTGAGAGTTTACAAAGCCCGCTCGAGCGCAAGAAGTGCCATTCGAGTGGAGGAGCAAAATTCTGGGCAACAAGAGTTTGGAAACTAAGCAACCAACCTGTCCCAAACGCAACCACAACAATCCCATAGCCAAATTCAAGGAGATACAAGGGAAGCAAGATGTAAACAACAATATGAAACCATTAAACCTGAGTCCAGGATACAACAAGAGTCGGGTTAAAATTGGAATCGTTATATATCCATCATATCCATGAATTTTATTCAGTGTCACTCCAACTATACATGCTTTATTTGTTATCAGCCCAATGGTCGATGTATTATTTTGTTAGTCTATGTGGATGATATCATCCTTACAGGAGATGACACCATTGGTATTGCTAAGGTAAAACAGGAGCTTAGTAGGGTATTTCACATCAAGGACTTGGGTCCTCTCAAATATTTCTTAAGGATTGAAGTAGCTCATTCTCGTAATGGGATATCATTGTCCCAACAGAACTATACTTTGGATCATTTTCAGGACACCGGAGATTGGTAGGACGTTTGATCTATTTGACTAATACACGACCAGATTTGACATTTGCTGTGAGTGTGGTTAGTCAGTTTATGCATTCACCTCGTACTGCTCACCTTGATGATGTTCACCACATCTTGAGATATCTCAAGTCATGTCCAGGTTTGGATTTATTCTTCAATGGTGGGATTCAGACAAGATTGTCCTGTTTTACTGATGCAAACTATGCAGGTTCATTGACTGACAAACGTTCAACTTCTGGGGTATGCACTTTCCTTGGTACCCATCTTCTGTCATGGAAAAGCAAAAAACAAGCGGTTGTTTCTCGATCATCTGCTGAAGCTAAGTATCGAGCCATGGCTCATGGGACATGTGAGTTACTATGGCTTTGGTCCATTCTTACTGAGTTAGGCTTTGAGGAGAATATTTCCTCCAAGCTATTTTGTGACAATAAGTCTGCCATCTTACTTGCCTCTGTGCTTCATAAGCGTACTAAGCATATTAAAGTTGATATTAATTTCATCCAGGAAAAGGTTCGAGCTGACATTGTATGTCCCTCGTTTATTCCATCTTCTAATCAGACTGCCGACATCTTCACCAAATCTGTAGAACCATCCCTACTTCGGTCTTCTATTGGCAAGCTGGGTTTGGTTGACATCTTTGATCCAACTTGAGGGGGAGTGTTGGAATATAGAATATTGTATATTTAGGAGATCCTGTGATTTCTATAAATTACAGTTATTTAGAGATTTGATTTTAGGATTTGATTATGTAATTATTTAATTCATTTTTCTCGTGTATCTTATATTTATTACATATAGACATGGTCTCACCCAAATTAGGGTAAGCCAATTTTGTACAACTTTCTTCTGATAGTTTAAATGAATCTTGGACATCACAAGGACATGTTTGATTAAAATGCTTATGATGTATGATTGTGAAGTTCACTCTTGAAATCAAATTATGAGAGATTTGTTCGAGCAGCTAACATTATGAAGTTTTTTTTTTTTTTTTTTTGTCCCTTTCCTCTCCACAAATTCAACATCCAAGCACAGCCTAAGAAAAAAGAGTTCAGAAATAGCATTCCCAACAAATGAGACAAAGTGAGGTTAGTCTAAGAAAAGGGTTTTTCAATGATATGTCAAACAACTAACCTAGCCAAATGGGAATAGGACATATTTGAGCTAGAGGAGAAAAAAATTAGCTCACTTCATTTCTATCTTCCCTTTTCTTTTCTTTTCCTTTACAAATCCACAACCAAGCAGAGTCTAAGGAAAAAGAGAGTTCAAAAACAAGTTTCTGAACAAAAATGAACAGCTAATCTTATTTGCCAAATGATAATATCCATTTTATCAATTGCCAAATGATATATATACATTGTTAGTTGATGTCATGCATTACAATAATATGTTTTCGATAACAAGGCATGTTATGCAATCTATTGCGAATAAAAATGTATAAAAGATTGTCCATGACTCCATAGATCACTAGGAACACAGAGATTGTTTCTCAAAAATGCACCGGCTAAGAACCAACAAATACAAAACCCAAAACCTCATACAATTTTTTTTGTATAATCTCAATGATTTCAAAAAGCTTGAGAATTAGGGAGCAAATTAGGGCAATGCTCAATCTAACTAGAAACTTACATCATTTTGATTCTTTTATAGTTTGAAGCAGAATCTTGGATCCCTTTTCCTGTCACAGAATAAGGTGCTGATGCTGAACAAAGAGGGGGAGACTTGTCAATATATGCATGTCTTTCATTGCCATTCCAGTACGAAATCACCCAATTAGTATAGGCATGCGACCAACTATCACTTGTTAAGCATGATTTAAATAAATTTTAAAAAATTAAAAATAAAAATAACTGTGAGACATATTAGATAGCACGATAGTTGGATCCAATTGGAACGAAGGTTACCTAGTGCGAGGGTTAAATGAAATGAACCGTCTGAATATTTAGTAGTCACCTGATTCAAGAGAACAACCTGTTTTGATGGGGGTAAGAAAAGGATTAAAAAGAGTTCAACAAACCTGGAATATTTAGTAGTCACCTGATTCAAGAGAACAACCTGTTTTGATGGGGGTGAGAAAAGGATTAAAAAAAGTACAACAAACCTGTAATATTGAGAAAATGTGCATTCATTTATTAAGTATAGACTATACACAAGTAATTTACCACAGGCATTCAGTAGATGACAAGTTTCAGCGATGATATAATAAAATCATAATATATATGACTCTGAATAAGCATAATCCTATAAAAGGCAATTGACAAATGGGTGCAAAAATACCAAGATTTTCATTCTTTCGTAGCATGCTGAAAATATTTTCTCTAGGAGATTTGGTAAACATATTAACAAATTGATAAAATATCAAAAGAGGAAAATAACTTATTGTAAATAAAAGGAAAACTTGAAAGACAACGTTCTTCTCCCACCAATTGAAATTCCATACACTTAAGCTGGCATGGAAAAATTTAAATAAAAATAAAAATAAAAATAAATTTTAAGGCATGGCAAACAAACATAAAATTCTTACCGCCAAACTGTACTTTTTCTCAAGTTTCATCAAAAAAAGATTTTTTTGATGCCCAGAAACACCCCTAAAGCGTAAGTTTCATCAACTTTAAGGCTATTCCACTGAGTAATCTAATTCTGAGCACCATGTCCTCAAAATCTTGAGGGAAGAGGAAAGTTACACTATCAATAATAACGACCATAACTTGTGAAAAAGTTAGGTTACTGAAATAGTGACGTGAGTGACAAGTAACAAATATACTACATGAAGCCAAAGTAACAATAATAACAGTGAGAAAATAACCTCATGCTTATAGAAAAGCAGTCAAAACAATAGAACATTGATGGGTTGTTAAGGTGTTCGAAATAAGAGGCTTATGTATATTTTATTGCCACTATCAGAAAGAGGGGGAAAATATAGATGAAGAAATATCATGTATATACATATTTAGAACTCGTTTGGGATGCCTCATTGGGGCTAAAATAGCCTTATAAGACAAAATAGGCTATTTTTAGCCATATAGGGTAAAATGTCACATCCAATCCATAATCATTTTATTCTTTCTCTCACAAAAGTTAAAAAAAAAAAAATCAAAATGCCTATCCCAAACGAGGCTTTTCAACCCCAGGTTAAAATAGTCAAAAAGCTAAAACATCAAAAAGTCAACTTACATTCCAAACGAGCTCTTAATATATTGCCAAAAAAAATTAGTTGGTGATATTCTCTAATTTGAGACAACTACAATCTTTTGCGTATCCATAAACAATGTTTTTGCTATCTAGCAAAACAAATTTAAGAAGTTGCTTGTGTTCTCATGGTAATTGTTAGGAAAATGCTATATATATTATAATCCCATTTCTTACTAGATTTTTTCATCTCCATCACAAAGTGAGTGGGCCCTGTGTGCATTTATTAATGTGGGACCCATTGCCTTGTGTCCAAGATTGATAAAATGAGGTAAGAAATATGATTAAGTATAGTATTACTCTAATTGTTATCATTGAAATTTTGAATGTTAGCCAATCTAGAAGTTATAGGGCAGTGAAAATTTCAACTTACAAAAATCAATTGGTAAGCTAAAGAACATAGATTAAGAGAAAATCATCATGAGAAGAGAGAACATAATTGCCTATAATTTGTAAGACCAGGCAGATGCAATCTTCCACTAAGATGTTACATGGCACATATTTGAAAGTAACACATGCATTATATATCTACATCTTTATGCTCCGAGATGAATTTCTCCAAGTAATTTATCATAGCAATTTGCTTTGTGTAACTGCAAATACGAAAATATAATATATTATTTAAGAAATCCTCGGGCTGCATCTGAACCTGACAGGCTTGAAATTTTTTCCATAAGCTATAATATTCCAACACATCCTCCATACATGCTTCCGCAATTTTTTTATTTTTTATTTTTTTTTATAACCGGGTTTCCGGGCTCCGATTGTAGACCCGACTAATCCCGGGGCCCTGGAGTTACCGACCGGGCCAACCTCCAGTGGCCCCTAAGGGGTGGCTCGAACTCGAGACCTGTGAATTTTATCCTCCAAGCTTTACCGCTCGGCCACTACCCTTGGGGTTCATGCTTCCGCAATTTGTAAAGCATGTTCCACCATAAAGCTGCCTTCTGTGTCTACAAACAGAAAAGCAAAATGTTTTGAACTCAAGGTTAGGAGAACAATGGAGTAAGTATCTAAAGGTCATTCATGAACTTATGTTACAACACGTACCTATATAAATTGCCTTTGCCTCCAAGACCACCGCAATCAAAAGGAATTTGAATATTCACTGCAAGTGGAATCCTGTAAATTCCATTATATCTTAATGGCAAAAGAAAACCCAACATAGACAAACTTAATTTGACAACAACCCATGCCCAATTGTGTTTGCCAATGCTTAAAACTCCACCTATCAAGATCAAGAAAACATCTCGTCACTAGCAGAAGACAAGTCTAGTCAATAAATGAAAGTAAAAACTTAATGGAACTGTCACGACCCAAACATGTCCCTAAGAGTTTGGATCATAATCGGCTAGTAATTACTTGATTACCTACAGCCTCAAACAAAAATACAGAATAAGTACAATAATGGGGCCATAAGCGGAAGCATATCGCATACAAAGAAGTTCATTGAGCTGTGCCAATATGATCAAAATATACATTGTTTATATCATAGTGCATCACAACATATTTACATGTCCATGCAAAAGTTTATAGTGGTGGGCGAGGGTCGGTTGCGGCCACAAAACCTCCAATCTGCCATCAGTCCGCCAGATTGGCGGGTTGGAGAAAATCAATCCACATCCATCCGCCAATTCGGCGGATGTGGATTGAACGGATTGGCGGTTTGGTGGATGGATGCGAATCGGTTTGGCGGTTTAAAATTTTATAAATTTTCAACATAATTCAACTTGTGCACTTCTTCAAAAAAAAAAAAAAAAGAAGAAGAAGAAAGTATTACAGTCAATGACTTAAAAAAATATTACAAACACTGCATGCCTCATCCAAAGCAAGAAAATTTGAAACTTTAGAATATCACAATTACAGCATGCCTCATCCACATAAAGTATTACAATCTGTGGTTCTTAAAATATAAAAACAATTCAAACCACCAAAACCATAAACAGAGCAGTAGTAGAAATTGTATATCTCTGTATTGTTACATCTATATCTGTTTTTGAAAACAAAAACCAACCAGCATATATCATATTTTCTATTTATTATTTTTAGAGATAGATTTAAAAACCAAAAAATATAGATAAATAATACGTTTATTTTTTTTCAATTCAAAAAAGATATTCAAGTTGAAAACTTTTTTTCAACAGAATATTTAAACTCTTTTTTAATTGAAAACACAAATAGAATATTTAAACAAACTGAAAACACAAAGTCTTATAAACAACTAGGGTGCTCGCGGTTTGGCAGTTCGGTTGCGGCCAAAGGAATCTCAAATCCGCCATCCGTCCGCTAGATTGGCAGATTGGAGAAAATCAATCCGCAACCGTTCGCTCGTCATCACGCATCCGTCCAAAATGCGGCAGATCAGTTCGGTTCGGTCGGTTTTGATGGATCGGTATATCCGCTGCCCACCCCTAAAAGTTTATGTACCAAAGTATAGTTTACATAACCTAGGACCATCATAACAAAGTTAACACAAAAGTCATATCAAAAAAGTAAGTTACAAGAAAAAAAGACAGAGGCTCCATCTTGGAGACTTGACCACTCGGGTTCACAAATAACTCCTGGTGCAGACCTTATGGTTGGGCTCCATGTTGCTGATCACCTATATATACATACATACATACGGAGTGAGCGAAACTCAATAAGTAATAATAAAGTAAAGAGGGTTAAATGAATGAGCATGAGTTGTACAAGACTATAATAACTGAGGACAAAACCTTCCAAGGTATAACTTCCACACCACATTCATGATCACATTGCGGAATGGCCCCAGGGCCAACATAGTACAGAACGGCCTTGGGCCTATCATATAAACAGAACAGCCTCAAGCCTAGCATATAGATAGAACGACCTTAGGCCCATCACTTTATCAGAACGGCCTCAGGCCTATTAAACCGAACGGCCTTGGGCCCATTACATTATCAGCTCGTTAGAATGACCTTAGGTCCAAACAAGTCATATCAGAACAGAATGGCCTCGGGCCCAAACATATCATAGTATAGCAAAACGACCTTAGGTCCACATTGTATATATCATATCACATTCATGAAACTTATTCATTTCAAAACATAATGCAAATTACAGATGGCAGATCTTTTAAGAAGGAAAATAAGTACTTTAAAACTTATCTTTACAATATTATTACTCACAGTGATATTGGCCTTGCGATGGTCCTTCCGGCAGGCAACCTACACATCATAACACAGATACAAATTCAGTAAACCATTCATTCATTTCTTTGTCCTTTCCTTTATTTAATCGTTTACGATTCGTTCATTTTCTGTTTATCTTTAAACATTCTGGAGGGTCTACTGCACGTGCAAAAGGTGCCGCACGTGCATTCATTGCAGAAACGATGCTTTGATTTGTTCTATTTTCCGCACGTGTGGCTGTGAGCCCCGCACGTGCGGTTTTGGGCTTTTCTGGACAGTCCGAAAATTGTGTTAACCTTAAGCTTTTAAACTCATATTCAAGCCAAAATTCATACAAATCCACTTCAAAAACATGACATTTGTACATAATCAAAGTGTATTTCAAACTCAATTGAATAAAAACTTGCTTAAATTTTAAAATCAAACCCCTAGCTTTCATTAATTGATAGATTTCTTCATTTTCTTTCAAATTCACTTACATCTTCATGAAGTATTTAATTCTTGAGCTAAAATCTTGCAAAAGCTAAAGATTAGGGTTCAAGTTCTCACAAACAATCTCAAGATAAACAAATATGAAGATATTCACTCATAAATCAAACAAATCCAAGGGATTAAAGTTCCATTCCATAACTATAATTCAACTAAGCTTTTAATTCCAAAACCCTAACTATTTTGGGTGTGAAATCTCCGTTTCAAGGCTTGATTTTAAACAAGTGAAGAGATATTCCAAGAGTTTGAGTTAATTTTACTCACCTTGAGCTCAAGCCTTGAATTTCCCTTTCAAATCCCCAAGCTTCCAAGCCTTGACTTAATCTTTTCTCTCCTCCTCTTGCTTTCCCTCTCTAGAACTCTCAACAAGATATTTTGAGCTTAAGTCTTAAGTTCTCTAAGGCTCTCTCATATATCTATCTTATATTAAGTTAGAAGCATAGGTTAATTAATCATAAGTCAACTCCTTAGCTTAATTAAATGTATTTAATTCATTGCGAATCAAATTTTTACAAAACTTCATATTAGGCCTTAAAAATCATGTTAATCATAAATATCAAGTCAGTTTTGTTTTCTGACATCTCTAAGACCTTCAATTTTCAGCTCAAAGCTCTAATCTCAACACATTTTGCTACACTAAACAATAGAAATTTACAAATCATATCATTCACATAATTAAGCATGCAATTTCATATCAAACACATAATCACATGGATAATTAAATAATGAAAGCATATTATGGAGTCAGGTTATCACAGGAACAATGTCAGGATGTAGTAATAATTGATAATTTTAGAGAATTTCAAGATTAGAGAATGATTGTGATATCATCCCCTTTTTATATTAATGAACATTAATAATTACAAAGGAGCCCTAAGGTATAGAATAATTATAACTGAATAATAACCTAACTAATAATATACTATTCTAACACTTCTCCTCAAGCTGGTGTGAAGATATCTTTGATGCCCAGCTTACCTAGTGTATGGGGAGCAAATATTCCGGCTAGCCCGTATTCCTTTCTTCCGAGCTCCGTTTCTGTCCGATCACCTGCGAGCAAATAATGGTGAGCTACCCGGCGGTGTGTGGTCGGAAAAACCCTCCGACGATCAAGTTAGCGCACACCTTAGGATAGAGAGAGAGAGAGAGAGAGAGAGAGAGAGAAGAGTGTTTGAGTGTAAGAATTTCCTTACAAAATGTTCCTATCCCACGTATGGGGGCGCAGACATGCTTATATACCCTTCTGCGCCCCAAATCTACTCTCATTGGTCTCTCGACACGTGGCTCTGTTATCCCATCTGTCAGCACAAATCTTGCTATACATCACCTAACCCAACTGTCAGCCCACTCTGCTGGGAGCACAGCAGCCGGGCAACATTATCTCGGCTATCAACGGCCATACTGAACATGCCGAAATGCAGTTGATATAGTTTCCTACTACCGGGCCTAATTCCAGCCGTGCTCAACTGTATTCCGGCGAAGCTGAGCTGGAGATTGGTTGTGCCGGTCAGCCAACAACCTTCTCGGCCAAGCTCCACGCGCCGGCCTTCCTACCGGGTTAAGGTGCGTGCATTACAGCCTTGCAACGTGTGAGCCGGGGAGCCTCATCTGGGCTGTTCCTCCACCCGTCCGCCCTTCGCGGAACCGAGATCATATAGCTCGGTTCCACGTGGGCTTTGCTATTACCGAGCAATATCACGGCCTGATCTTGGAGCCCAATACCTCGGCCCAAATCTGTCCGGCTAACGTCACGGCCCAATCTCAAATTATAAATCTCCCTCTCACCTAGGATGTCATGCAATGGCTTACTCCCAACTCTCTTGGTGAGGATGCCAGTGAGTTGTTCACCAGACTGCACAAAGGGAGTACATATTGTGCCACTAGTGAGTTTCTCCTTAATGAAGTGGCGATTAATCTCAACCTGCTTTGTCATGTCATAAAAATATATATATTATATAAAATCATTCTATGATAATCCAACTACAATATATTTATATTTAATTTTTTAATAAATTTTATATAATTTGTATTTCAACATATTTTTATTTTCCAAATGAATATAAAAGAAAATTAAATCGTTAGAATTATAATTAATTTTATGTTAGTAATTCTTCTTCTAATTTAACTATTATTTTTTCTATTAAAATGAGTATTCATTTTACTCTTTAATATATATCATACAAAATTATTATGTGGTAATTTCACTTTTATAATACGATAAACTAAAATTATCAAAATTCACAAATAATTTAACTAAAATATATATATATATAAATATTCAAGTAATAATTTTATAAAACGATAACGCTAATATTATCAAAATAAATAATTAAAATCATACTTTAATTTTGATTTTAAATTAAAATTAAATTATTCTTTTATAACACACATTGTACTAGCACGAGTTAAAAATATTATAATAGATCATAATCAAATACCACTTGAAGCATAATTAAAGATCCGATGCACCACATTTTTTTTTTTGAAGAATATGAAAAATATTTATATTAAAAAACAACAACACACTTTAGACATAATAAAAAAACATAAAAAATTATCAAAGACCTTCGATTAATAACTATAATAATACTCCATGCGTTATAACTAAATTATAATTTGTATATTGTAAATTTTTTTTATGATTTTAGTTTTTCAAAAAATTTTTTTTTGATATAACTGGAATTCATGATTTTTAATTTAATTAACACAACACAAAAATTTTCATCAACCATTAGTAAGAGAGTGTTTGGAATGATCTAAATAAGTATATTTTTAAATTTTTTATGAACAGATGTGCAACAAAGCAAAGAGAGAATGTGATTCAAAAAAATAAAAAAGTACACTTATGCCAAATCGTACCTATGGTTGTATTTGACTTTCAATTATTAAAATTTTCTACCTGTAAAATAAATTCAAAATAAATTTCCGCACATCACGGTCACCTACTAATCCAGTCCACCATTTGGACTAGAGGGTCCAGTCCGGCCCATTGAGCCCACTGTTGGGTCTATTTTCGATAATTTGAACCGTTTACATTTTTTGGTTTGTTGAGTACATTATTCTTGTAAAAAATCATGTCGATTGGATAATGAAAACTATATACTTGGATCACTTTTTATGAATAGTTAATTTTTTAATCATTTATTTTTTTTAGACAAAAGTGATCAGAATATGTAATATCCATTATTTAATCGATGTGATTTTTACAGAAATAATGTACTTAATAACCCTTAAAATATGAATAATTTTAGTTATCAAAAAGAAATCTAAAAGTGGGCTTAATATATCGAATTAGACCTGACGGTCCAGACAGGCTCGGCCTTGAGGGCAGGGCGAAGAGGCCTGCGCCTTGGGCCCCCAGATTTGGGCTGAAAATAGGGCCCCAAAATATGATCTTGTGTTTTAGATATAAAAAAAAAAAAGAAAATCCAAATACTATAAGCCTAATTGTATATGGGGCCTAATATATATATATATATATATATTATGATAGATTAGAGACCCAACTGACATGGGCCCAAAAACAAGAAACACTATAATTTATAATACCCACCATGAGGCTAAGAATGTGGGTCACTGAAAGAAAAGAAACATGGAAAGAAAAACATGTCTCTTTCTCTTGGATTGATCTCTCTCTGGCATTGGACTGATGAAACCTTTAGTCCTCTCCTCTCCTCTATATTTGTCGGGCGCTGAGCATTAACAATTTTGGGTATCAAAATCGTGAGTCTCTCTCTCTATATATATCACATTTAAATGGAAGAAATTTTTGCCCTAATTTTTTTCCTAATTTCTTGCCCTATATAATTTGTTCTTTAAATTAAAAAATTACATAGTTTATGTGGTTTAGTGGAAGTCTATAATTTTTGTTATGCTCTAATTTGAAAGTATATTATTTGCAGAGATCAATAATTATGAATTTCTATAAATATGTGATTAAAAAAGTTATTATAATTTATCGTCTTATTCATCAACTTTTTTTTTAATATAAGAAAAGTCCCATTTTCAAAAGTTACCTGGGCTCTCTAAATCTCAAGATCGGCCCAGATCCAGATTTGGACCGGAGAGCGGACCCTAGTTATAGTTTGTGGTTGATGAGGAACAAATATTTTTGGGAAAGCCAATGACTTGGCGCCTTAATATCCAATCAAATCAATTGGACAAGCAAACAGTAACAGAAACAACAACACTGTGGCGTGTCTGTCTGTGTCCATCCATCCACAGTCAATCCAACCCAGAACAGCACCGGCCCGACGGCCAAGGAAAATGCTAGGTATCACCACCAACACCGCCCTCTCACCAATGGGTGTAGTGGGTATGGGTATGGGTTTCGCAGCCGCCACCGCCACCGCCACCGCCACCGCCAAACTCCAGTCGCGTTTCAGAGTGTCGGGAGAGGAGGCCTTTCCGTCCTTTCTACCCAGAGAGGTCCACAAAATCAAAGACCCTTTTGCTCGAAACTTGGCCACTAGGATTCACAGACTCCCCCTACAGGTTCACCTTCTTTCTCCCCCCTCTCTCCTCTCTTTTCTTTCCAATCTCTCTCTCTCTCTCTCATATATATGTATATGTTTATTTTTCCCTTCTTGCTTACAATAATTTAGGGAGGTATTTGAAAATTTCTCTACACAAAAATAGGCCAAGCTGTTACAATTACAAAAATGGCTAAGAATGTGACCAAAATAAATTATGCTTCTACATTCTGTCTCTGTCTCTCTCTCTCTCTCAACAGTCAAAAGGATATTATAGTGTTGGTTTTTATGTAATGTTGTTGTCCTTTGCTTAGTGCAATGAAATAACGTTTTTTTTTATCTATATAATAGTAATGTTGCACATAATCATGTTTCTTACCTATTTTTTCACTTGTAGAGACAAAGTAATGGGGCACATCAATAAATACATATGATGAGACTCTCTTTGACATGTGTTTATAATGTGAAAATAGGGTAAGAAAAAAGACTATGAGCATTTCCATTTCCTATATATGTAACTGAGAGTGAAAGAACAACCATGAAAATGTGTGCTGTTTTGCCTACAAGACTTGAGATATGAAGTAAAAGTTATAGGGGAAATTACAAAAAAAAAAAACCCCAGGGTTTAATGCTTTTTTCAATTTAAACCTCAGGTTTCCAATTTTGACAATTTGCACCCTACCATTCCACCCGTGTTGCAATCCGATCCCCTCGTCCATCTCCGTCTCTATTAGTTAACGGAAGACTGATTTGGGTGCCAAAATTGCCCTAATCTTGACGATTTAGGGCAAAAGACTTTAATAGGCAATGTTATCAATTTTGGCCCCTCATATACTGGCACAGTCTCCCTCTCTCTCTTTCTCTCTCTCTCTCCTCACCTCGTCGTCGTCCACCGCCACGCCTTGTCATTGCCGCCACTAGCCCCATCATCGCCTTCACCACCATCTCCTTTCTCTTCTGCAAATCTTCATTCTCATCTTCCCAAGATAAACCCCTAACTCTTAGCCCCACCCTCATCTTCCCTTCTGCAAATCCTCACTTTGATAGATGTCTCTCTTATGGTTCACCACCGTCCTCGCTTTTGCTCCGCCGCCGCACGCGTAGTCCAATAATCGTCCCCACCTCGCCCTCTTCTCCACTGACACATCCTCCATTGCGCAGATCTGGGTCAAGGTTCGGAGTTGATCCTCAACAAGGTTCCATCGACATGCCATAACGACAAGGTGGATCTAGAACTGTCCGATTAGCGACGCAGAACTCTCTCTCTCTCTCTCTCTCTCTCTGCCTTCTCCTCTTCCTCCTATTCTCTGATATACAAGTATTTAGCTTCAAATGTATGTATATGTGTATGTATATGTATGTGTATGTATATTTATACAGATCTGAACCTTTTGGACTAGGGTTCATGGATGGTAAGCACCACATAGTTTATGTTTATGGTGTTTTCTGCTAAAATGCACCTCACCTTTACAGTTTGTTGTTGTTGATTAGGGTTTTTTGTTGTGTTGTTGTTGATGATAATGATGACGATGATGAATATATGCTGTGATGATGATGAATCTTTGTTTGTGGAATGATTTTAACAGAAAGTGGGTGATGAAGAAGCAGCAGATTGCAAGAATAGATTTGTTCAAATATGGTGGAAAATTGAACAGATACACAAAAAAATGGATAGATAGACAAAAAATTAGATAGATAGAATTTTATTTGGACAAATATTTAAATAGATAAGTGAAATTGGAATTGAAAAGTTAAAAAAGGTGTCTTGCACTAAATTGTGAAGATTAGGGCAATTTTGGCACCCAAATCAGTCTTCCGTTAACTAATAGAGACGGAGATGGACAGGAGGATCGGATTGCAACACGAGTGGAATGGTGGGGTACAAATTGTCAAAATTGGAAACCTGAGATTTCAATTGAAAAAGGCGCTAAGCCCTGGGATTTTTTTGGTTATTTCCCCAAAGTTATATAAGAGTTACGACGTCTCTGTATTTTTTGGACATAAAGAGTGTGACATCCTGCTAACCAGAAGCCTATACAACCCCTACAAGGAAACAAAATGATTGGAACAATAAAATCTAATAAATGAAAGCAAAAACTTAAATAATGGATTTCGAAAAGCCGTCGGTTTGCTACCTGTTGAAGTGATTGTGACACGATCAAAGAAGCTCAGTAAGATTTTCCACCTAAACTACTGAAGACCATCAAATTATACTTGTTATATTTTACAATTTAAGGAGGATCTTGATCAGTCATTTTTCAATCAAAAATTAATTTGTTCTAGAATTCAATTAAGTAGAATAAATAGCTGTTCATGTTAAACATGATTTTAGTTCAATTAATTTGCACATTTTGTAGAAGTATCTATTTATCTTTTGTTCATGTATTGTCAAGGTTCATGTATTTTTTGATTCGTGTATTCATGGAATGAATGTTTCTATGAAGATTTATGTATGGTTCATTGGATGTAGAAGTTGCATTTATTTCTAGGCTTGTCCATTGGAGCCTATAAATACCTCATGCAACCAAATTTCCTAAGCAAGTGGAATCAAACATTGAGTGTTCAAGAATTCCTCTTCCATTTTCCAATCTTTCTAGCATTTATATGAATCCTTCAATTTTGAACGAAGTGGTATCAAAGACACTAAGTTTGTGGTGAAGAAAATGGTGAATGGTTTGACGGGATTCCAATTTCCCTGGCTTTTGATAGATAATTACGACAATTGTTTGATTCAGATGAAGGCCTTGCTTGGATCACAAGATGCTTGGGAGATTGTGGAGGACAACTATGTGAAGCCACAAGATGAGTCAAGTTTGACTGGCACTCAAAGGAGGCCTTGCAAAAATCTAATAAGAAAGATAAGCAGATCCTTGTTATCATCCATCAATGTTTGGATGATTCTTTGTTTGAGAAAGTGGCTAATGCAACCACTGCAAAAGAAACATGGGAGATTTTGCAAAATTCTTTCAAAGGTGCTGACAAGGTAAAGAAAGTTCGACTTCAAAAACTTGAAATTCTTTGAATGAAAGAATCGGAGTTTGTTTCAGACTATTTGTCTAGAGTATTGGTGATTGTGAATCAAATGAAGAGATATGGAGAAGATTTACCAAATGTTTGTGTACTGGAGAAAATATCGTTGCAACCAAAATTTGAACATATTATGGTGGCTATTGAAGAGTCAAAGGACTTGAAGTCTGTGACGGTTGATCAACTCTTGGGATCCCTACAAGCTCATAAGGAAATGCTAAAGAAAAATTCAGATGAAATGGTGGAACATGTTTTGCAAACAAAACACTCCTTTAGAGGACATGGTGAAGGATAACATAGAGGTGGAAGAATACAAAGAGGCTGGGGCTGATCACGTGTACATGGTCAAGGAAGAGGTGAAAAAGTTGGTTGTGGTCCATTTCAGTGTTATTAAAGGCGCGCCTAGGCCCAAGTCCCATCTAGGCCCAAGGTTTGCGCCTTGTAGTGTTCCAGGCTAGGCGACTTCGATAAGGTGCGCCTAGGCGTGCGCTTAGGCCCAAGTCCTGTCCAGGCCCAAGGTTTGCACCTTGTAGTGTTCCAGGCTAGGCGACTTCGATAGCACCTGACTGGCCCAATGCTTATGTCTTGAGGGCTTTTTTTATTGTTGCTTTAATTGGTGTTGTTTACAATCTGACCATTAATTTAATATGGTGTAACTACAGAAGATCCCTACTCTTATTACAGATGCCAATACATTGGGCATTCAACCCCAAATCAATGATAGAAAAAAAATTAACCCTAATCCCTAATCTCTAAAAAACACTAAATGTTTAACATTTCATTTTATTTATGTTGAACCCTAAATTATTTACTTCTATTAAATTATATATTTTTTTCCATACAAGAGGGGCCTCACTTCGGTGAAGCCTGCTGCTTTGCCTTGCGCCTTGAGCCTAGGCCCCAGGAGACCTTGGCGCCTTGGTGCACTTATCGCCTTTAATAACACTGGTCCATTTGTCAATGATTTAGAAGAAAGAAGCCAATCTTCATCATCAAGATCACATGGAAGAGGAAGATCTAGAGGAAGATGAAACTTTTCAAAGAGAAAGAAACGAAGGTATGATAAGTCTTAGTTGAATATTATAGTTGTCACAAACATAGCCATTATTCTTGGGAATGTCAAGATCCTACCAACAATGTTGAAGAGAAAGCTCGTCTTGTCTAACAAAAGGATGAGGTAGTTGAACCTACTTCATTGCTAGCCGTCAAAGACAATGAAGAATTGGGAGAAAATCTATGGTATCTTGACAATGGTGCAAGTAACAACATGCGCGGCGACAGAAACAAATTTGTGGAGCTTGATAAAACTCGGAGAGATCAACTTACTTTTGGAAACTTCTCGAAAGTTCCAATCATTGGCAAAGGTACAATTGTAATTCGTTTGAAAAATGGAGATCATAGAATCATATTTGAAGTATATTTTGTGCCAAAAATGAAAAGTAGTATTTTGAGCTTGGGTCAACTTTTAAAAAAGGGTCACGAAATTCACATGAAGGACGGTACTATTTCCCTAAGGGATGAAATGAATAATTTGGTGGCTAAAGTTTTAATGACTTGAATGTTCTTGTTGAATCTTCAAACGTACATTGCCAAGTGTTCAAATGCAAGTGTGAAAGATAAGTATTGGTGTAGGCATATGAGGCTTGGACACTTGAATTTTGGAGGACTAAAGTTGATGGCCAAAATGAAGATGGTACATGGATTACTTTTTATCAACCATCCAGACCAATTATGTGAGGGGTGTCTATTTGGAAAACAATTTCAGAAGTCTTTTACAAAAGAAGCCACAACAAGAGTTATGGAGCCACTAGTGGTTGTGCATATGGATGTTTGCAGTACAATTAAGCTATTTTAATTTGGTATGGACAATTATTTTTCTACTTTTCATTGATGATTTTAGCAGAAAAACATGGGTTTATTTTTTGAAAGAAAAATCTGAAGCTTTTGGAGCTTTAAAAAAATATAAGGCATTGGTTAAGAAGCAAAGTGGCTATGCCATCAAATATTAATTCTAAAATATAAAAATACAGATATATAATATTTTAAAATCTCATCTGCATCATTTTCTTCCGCTTGAAAAAATTCTTCCTCGAGTTTCCATTGCATCAAGTAATTTGAAAAATTTTACGTTTGCATCCTTTTTATATTTAAGGTTAATCTTTCCAAAATAAATATATCTATGACATTATGACTATTCTTTACACAAACTCATGGACTTGATTCCAAGAACATCATATACAATTCTTGTTTCCTTGCACTTGCCAGCCAAACAAATCTTGACCTCCTTTGTTGATGCTTGGTAAAAATTCATTGACTTTTAACTCATCAATTTTTGGAACATCATTAATAATTTATGGTTCTTCATCAAAATTGGTGGCTTATTCCAATCCACATTAGGATTTGGAATAATATTTGATGTGAGTGGCCACTCAATTGTAGCCATGACTCTCCTACCCCTGTATTTTGGCCTTGTGAAAGGGTTAGTGGTAACGTCAACCAAAACCTCTTCCTCCTCCTAAGTATGGAGGTTTATTGGGGACACATTCAAAACATATGTTTTTATATTTTTATTATATGTGTATTTTTAAATATTTAATATGTATTTTATGTCAAATATTTAATTTTACTAAATTTAGCAACCTCAGATATGCTATTTTAGTATAAAAAAAAATTAAAAATTAAATTTTTTTTTTTTGAAAAAAATAGTACTCAGCGTGTTCTTATAATGTCCCCAATGTGTCCACGTGTCCTCAACGTGTCCCTTGCGTGTCCTCAGTGTGTCCCAACGTGTCCAAAGTGTCCCAGCGTGTCTAACTCTTTCCAACGTGTCCGACATGTGTCCAGAGCGTGTCCGTGTCTGACACGTGTTGGACACCTATACACAACCTCCGAAGACGTGTCCGTGCTTCATAGGTATCATCTCTCTCATATATCTCTTTAATAGCGGCATATCGACCACATGGTGAAGAAACCCACTCTGCCCGCTTGTTTTTGCCTGTTGTACTATCGCAATCCCACTACATACCTCTTTCCTGATTTTGTCTATTGTCGCTGCTCTTGTGTTGGTGAAGAAACCCACTTTGCCCACTTGTTTTTGCCTCTGCCCATCGTTCAAGTGAGAGAGAGGAGGGAAAGGGTTAAGGTTTGTGATCTCTTGATTTGAGAGAGAGAGAGAGAGAGAGAGAGAAGATTTGATTTTGAAAATAGCAGATTTTTTTGATATTCGTATAATCATACCTTGATTTTATGAGAGAGAATGCAGAGCCATAATGGCATAGATAAAGATTCTATCAGACTTTTTTGATTTTGTGAGAGAGAATGTAGAGTCGTAATGGCATAGATAGATATGCAATCAGACTTTTTTTTGTTATGTTAGCAATCACATATTGATTTTATGAGAGTGTAGAGACATAGTGATACAGATCAGAGCTAAGTAGATCTTTTTTTTTTTGATATTGATGTAATCAATTGTTAATTTGATGAGAGTGTAGAAAATCATGAGAAAGATAAAGTATATTATATATACAACATAAGCTTGCCACCTATATGGAAAAAACTTAATTAACTATTAAAATTTTGTCGGTTTAGGTTAAGTTGGTGAATTTCTCAGAGACTTGGTAGATCACCGGTCACCCAAAAATTTTATACATTTGTACCTGCAACCAACTCACTATTGGGTCGGGTGGGTTTGACGGGTCATTTGGGTTTTTGAACACCCTTAGCTCTGATACCACCTGATGTAGGGAAGCATATCAGAAAGGAGCAAAATAGCAAGATCGATCCATGAACAAGTTCGAACTAGTGATTCTCTCTATAAGAACGAAACAATATTGAGAAAATTCTCGATTTTTATTAATCAATCATAAACTGTATTACCCTAAGGTTTACATCTTTATTTTTACTAAAATAATTCTTACTAATCAAGAAAATCTAAAAAAGAAAAGATATATTCTTATTAGCCAAGAATATTTAAAAAGGAAAATATTAATTCTTGTTAAACAAGAAACATAAAATAGCAGAGCTAAATGAGAAAATATAATAATTATATACTATTCGATACTAAACCATAATATTTCTAATCTACTATTAATTCCGAAATATAAAAATAAAAATATATAATATTTTTAAGGGTAAATTACAAACACACCTCTTGAGGTTTGCTTAAAATATAGATTGCTTCCTATAGTTTGGAAAATTACAAATGCCCCCTTTTCAAATTTTTTTTTTTAAGCAAAATTAACTTAAAAAATGAAACTTCTAACTACTCTCTAATACAATAATAAAATTACCTGAATTATTAATTAAAATAAATTTCTAACATCATGATGATTTATTAATAAAAGGAGTCATTTGTTATGAAATCAGAAACTTCAAGGGGCAGGATGTAATTTCCAAAACCACAGGGGGCAATTCGTATTTTAAGCAAACCTCATGAGTTGTATTTGTAATTTACCCTATTTTTTGAAATCTCATCTGCATCAGTATACAAGGTAAAGAAGAATGTAAAGGAAGAGAAAGAAAGATACAATGCAAAGGGTTATAGTCAACGTGTTAGGATTGACTACAATGAGGTGTTTGCCTCTGTTGTCTGTTGGAAGCCATAAGGTTGTTGATTTCACTTGCTACGCACAAAAATTGGAAAATTTATCAAATAAGCGTGAAGTCTGTTTTTTTTTTATGTGTTTCTCGAGGAGGTGTATATTGAACAACCTATGAGGTATGTGGTTAAAGCCCACGAAGATATAGTTCTCAAGCTGAAGAAATCATTATACGGAACAATCTTCAAGAGCATGGAATACTCGGATTACAAGTACTTCATGTTGAATGGTTTGACTAGATGCCCACATGAGCATGCTCTTTACTATAAGGTGAATGGAAATGGAGATGTCTTGGTTGTTTGCTTGTATGTGGATGATCTTAATTTTACAGGAAACAATCTAACATGTTTGAGGAATTCAAGAAAGCAATGGTTTGGGAATTTGAGATGACTGATATTGGATTAATGGCATACTATCTCGTCATTGAAGTCACGCAAATGGAGAATGGCATATTTATTTCTCAAGAAGGATAAGCAAAAGAAATACTCAAGAAATTCAAGATGATTGATTGCAAGCTTGTTAACACCTCCCGTGTAATGTGGAGTCAAGCTTACAAAGCATGAAGACGAGAAAGTGGATACAACACTTTTCAAGAGTCTAGTTGAAAGTTTACGATACTTGACTTGCACAAGACCAGATGTTCTTTTTGGTGTTGGATTGGTAAGTTGCTTTGTGGAAGCACCCACAATAACTCACTTTAAGGATGCAAAAAGAATTATTCTTTATGTTAAAGGAACATGATTTTGGTTTGTCTTATTCATCTTCAAATGAATTCAAGCTTTTTGGTTATTGTGATAGTGATTCTGGAATCTTGGATCATAGAAAGAGCATTATTGGCTTTGTGTTTTTCTTGGGAGATACAACTTTTACTTGTAGTTCAAAGAAGCAACCGATAGTAGCACTTTCTACGTGTGAAGCTGAGTATGTTGATGCTGCATCATGCAATTTGGCTAAGGAATTTGATGATGGATTTGAACTTAGCACAAAAGGTAGCAACAAAGATCTTGGTTGATAACAAGTCTGCAATCGCTTTGGCCAAGAACCCAGTGTTTCGATGATCGAAGTAAACATATTAATACAAGGTATCATTTTCTTAGAGAATGAATTGCAAAAAAGGAGGTGCAACTCAAGTTTGTGAAATCTCGTGATCAAATTGCTAACATATTCACAAAGTTGTTCAAGTATGAAGACTTTATCAAGTTTTGGACTATGCTCGGGTTACTAAAAATCAAGTTTAAAGGGGGGTGTTGAAATAGTTAACATGATTTTAGTTCAATTAATTTACACATTTTCTAGAAGTATTTGTTTATGTTTTTGTTCATGTATTTTTTCTGATTCATGTGTTCCTAGAATGAATGTATATAGGAAGATTCATGTATGGTTCATTGGATTTGGACGTTGCATTTATTTCTAGGCTTGTCCATTGGAGCTATAAATACTTCATGTAACCAAATTTCCTAATCAAGTGGAATCAAACGTTGAGTGTTCAAGAATTCCTCTTCCCCTTTTCAATCTTTCTAGCATTTGTGTGATTTCTGTTAGCATATTATATTAAGTGATATTATATTAGCCGAAAGGTAGCCGAAAGATACACTAGGGTCTGTCTGTAATCATTTTATGCACTCAAGGATAGCACTCAGGGATCATCTTGTAATTGCATTTCTTGTAAACCCTAATCTTAATCTATAAATAGGGGGTGATATTCTATCATTCCCCAAGCTGGTTACCCTAGCTTCATGGTATCAGAGCTACACCTCTAGGGTTAGGGTTCAAAACGTACCTAGTTGGATCATCTGCTAGGTTGATCTCCTTCAGCCGTCCTCTGCTTCATCTTCGTCCCTCCGCTTGTCTGCTTCGTCTTCATCTTCGTCTGCTCGTCTGCTTCGTCTGCTCGTCGTCCTCATCTCCCTCGCCTTCTGTCATCGCCCTCGTCGTCCTCATCTCCCTCGCCTTCGTCACTCTGGTATCTCACACCCTTGATATATATATAAATATATGTATATGTATGTTTCTTTAAATTAGGGATTTGTTGAGATGGTTACTGGGAGTAAGGTAGATATGTTTTCTGATGCAAATGTTCGGATGAAACTAGAACATGGGATGATAAGAGGATTAAATGGTAATTTAGAGGGTAGTTTACAGAGTGAGCTTGAATTTATGCTGCGTAATCGAGAAGCTATTGATCAGGAGAGGGATCTCAATATATTTAGGAGTGGCAGTGCTCCTCCCACAGTAGAGGGTTCGTTGAATGCCATAGGTAGTCTGTTCAGGAATCCAAATTTTGCACTGATTGACCATAACAGTATTAATAGTAATGGACAATTGTCAGAACAAGAAATTCGATCACACCCTGCTTATTTATCGTACTACTATTCACATGAGAATCTTAATCCAAGATTACCCCCACCATTACTGTCACGAGAGGATTGGCGTGTGGCACAAAGGTTTCAGGCAGGGGGGTCGTGTTTTGAAGGAAGTGGCGATTGGAGGAGGACGAATTTGGTCGATGTTGGTGGAAATTCATCATTATTCTCAATGCAGCCTAACTTATCTGTACGGAAGGCAGAAGATGAGTTGACGGAATTGAGGAAAGGTACTCAAAGGAATCTCTCAGGGCAATCCTCCACTGAATGGCTGGACAGAGGCTCTGATGGTTTGATTGGGTTGTCAAGCACTGGATTGGGTGCAAGGAGGAAGAGTTTTGCTGATGTCCTTCAGGTGATTGATCTAGGTTGGAACTGGATTTTGTGATTTGTGACACAGTTTATAATTTCATTGAAGATTTTCCTTGTGAAGTTTCTTCTTTTTCTTCTATTATTATTACTTTTATATTCTTATATAATCATGGTGCTTTCTTGTGCTTAAAGAAGCTTTCTTTTTCTTTTTTCTATCTTTCTTTCTTTCTTCTTCTTCTTCTTCATTTTTTTTGTTTGGGTTCTTGTTTTTTTGTCTTTGCAGTTTGATGAAACATAGTGCTTCATTCTGTTAGGCATGTGCCTAAATACTAGCTGTTGAACTTCTGTAAATAGGGCTTTGCCAATTGATCGTTCAATTGGAACTCAGAAATGGGTACCACGTGACTTCTAAACTATATATCACGTGCCTACGTTCTGATAAGTGTGAGTCCTGTCATTCATGGTTTTCACAGCCACTAAAATTGTGTTTTATTTTTCTTTAAAATTTTTCTCTCACCATCTCAGTAATGATGTAGTGTATAATTGTCAAGAGTAGATTTGACTACTTACTTTTTGGTTATATCTTCTATATCAAGATTTGATGTAGCTTTGTATTGCTTTCACAAGTGGATTTGATGTGCCGTGTAACTTGTGGTTTTTCTTTTTCCACTTCTTCGTCCATGCTTTCTCATTTGCTTGTTCGCATTTGAAATGATCTTCAAAATCTGTAATGAATGATGACAGGATGTGCTTCTCTTACTTGGGAAACCAATAGATTGAAGCCTATCACTATGTCATTTAATGTAACGGAGAAATTATTCGCTTCATTACAAGGATCCTGGAATTAAAGGTGCATGTTTTGAGTGTTTGAAGTGCCATTGAAGGTGAATTCACCTGCTCAAAGTCAGAAGGTATTTGATGAAAGTCTTGATATTTGAAATGGAAGAAATCCCTGCTACTGTGGAAGATATAATCATATAACTTACTTATATAAACCTTTTTTTGTTGAATAGTAAATTTGTATCAAGAAGAAATGAAAGCAGGGGACTTTCATTAAATTGATGGAGATGTAATACCATATTAGCCAATCAATCCCTCTAAATCTAGTACTTTGGCAGTTGGTAAAAAAATTGATTGATTTGAAGCAAAGACTCAAGATGCTTTACAGTAACCTTGAACTGAGTTAAGCTACAAGAAGCACTTTAAAATATTTTATATAAAATATTTGCAAAAATTTGTTGTAAAACCTTGGTTACATACTATAGCTATATCTCCTAAATCGTAATCTATTCAAGGTTGTAAGAAGGATAATACTGGAAAAAGATCAGACAAAATGAAGATTTTTGCAGGTATATTGGAAAATTGCTCATGCAGGCTTTTGGGATTTGCAATTACATATATTCAGCAGATATGTATTGGAATTGCTTTTGAAGATATGAATCCTGCATTAACTTACGTACATGCTTGCCTGTTTAATGTTGATTCGCTTTAGTGAGACGATTGCTTGATGTAGAAATAAAAAACAGCTTGGCAGTATGTATGCTGCATATAGGGTAGTTTTATATACAAGTGCACATTATGCTGAGAAGTTAGATACAAGAAAAATGTGGATCAAATGATGGATTAGTACTCTTACAAATTCTTTATGCCATGTGTTAAAATCCACCTACTCTCCACCTACTTCACCCACTTAAACCTACTCCACTAAACCTAACCCACTACACCACTACCACCTCCACTTCCCCTACTCCTTACCTACTACACACTCACCATCTTCTATATATAGGAATCATGAATCATTGTAATACTACAAGATCAATACAATCAATCAATAATACATTTCTCTATTTCTTTTTATACATTGCATTTTTTACATTTTCTGATTCATGTGTTCCTAGAATGAATGTATATAGGAAGATTCATGTATGGTTCATTGGATTTGGACATTGCATTTATTTCTAGGCTTGTCCATTGGAGCTATAAATACTTCATGTAACCAAATTTCCTAATCAAGTGGAATCAAACGTTGAGTGTTCAAGAATTCCTCTTCCCCTTTTCAATCTTTCTAGCATTTGTGTGAATTCTTCAATTTCCAATAGTTTAGTCCAGCTATCAAACCACGAGGATTATGAGGCTGAGTTGTGTTGAATTAGAAATTAGTTCTTAAATTAATTAAACGAGCGTTGGTTGATTCACTATTATACTAAGAACTCAAACTGAAATTAAAAGAAGGGCAAACTTCACTTTATCCCCTGAGGTTTAGGCCACGTGCGGTTTACCCAAGCTGGTTACCCTAGCTTCAATTTCTTCAATTTCCAATAGTTTAGTCCAGCTATCAAACCACAAGGATTATGAGGCTGAGTTGTGTTGAATTAGAAATTAGTTCTTAAATTAATTAAACGAGCGTTGGTTGATTCACTATTATACTAAGAACTCAAACTGAAATTAAAAGAAGGGCAAACTTCACTTTATCCCCTGAGGTTTAGGCCACGTGCGGTTTACCCCACCATACGTTTGGAAATAACCACATAGCCCCCACGTGGTTTGTGGACTGAAGTGTACCGTTAAATACCGTTAAACATTCCGTCCAACTTAATAGCAAGTGTGAAACACATGGCAAATATAACAGGTTATATGCTCATTTTCAAATTTTAAGAGGGTAAATTGTATATGAAATAAAGTACAGGGGGTTAAAGTGCACTTTGCCTTCCAAACAAATGACGAAAATATATGGCTATTTTAGTCTTTTTCATTAAACCGTTAACGGTCCTAACGGTGCATTTCAGTCCACAAATCCCGAAGGGGTTATGTGGTCATTTCCAAACCTTAACGGGGTAAACTGCACATGGCCCAAACCACAGGGGGTAAAGTGAAGTTTGCCTTTAAAATAAATTGAGTGAAAGCAGAGTAAATGGCGTTTCAATAATGAGAAAACATGAGGGGGGAAAAAAAAGAAGAAGAAGAAGAAACAAAATAGCCTGAAGGCTGTCTTTGGCCGTCCAAGCGCCTAGACCCACCTTCTGAGTAGTGGTCCCCAAAAAAAGCTCTCTTTGAATTTCAGGCTCTGCCCTTGGCTACCTAAGTGCTCAGAATCACTGGCCGAACAATAGTGATGAGAGGAAATCTGCATTTTCAGAGATTTAGAGTGGGAATAGTCCATATACAACCCTAATTTGTATTAGACTAGAAAGACCCCACAACAACAACAACAACAACAACAACAAAAACTTATTGGAGGGGTTGTTCAACCTTGGAAGAGGAGGCTACAGAGCAAGAAGAGGTGATTCTTGAAGGTTTTCAATGCCGTGTACATCAAAGACTATGGAATTCGTCCACACCTTCTTCTCTTAATTATACCTTAATCAAGTAACTAGGGTTTTGTTTGATTTAATTTGGATGACAATTAAACGTTTTAAGATCTGCTATTCAATAAAAGTTTCAATTCAATTTATGTATCCAACTTCTATGATTTTGAGTACATAGTTGTACAATGGTAATAACTATATGCACATTGAAACTGGCAGATGAGTCATAATCATGCTTATGGTGTTTCAATGCTATACATAGATTGGATGTCTGCCTTTTTACTGTTTTAAACCATCAACTATCTCATCTCCTGCCAATTTCATGCTTTGAATAATTTGTGACAAACAACACGTTCACCTACAAAAAGTAAAGTCTATATCTCTCACGACGCATTTATAAAATCAGTTAGAAGGAGTTGATAGAACTTCATATGAATTGCATAGATTGTCGGATAGCTTGATATACATTGTTGGGCCCATCTCCTATCATGGTATCAATCTCAGGTTGGGGGGAGGGTCTTAGGTTCAAGTCTCTCCATTTGCATTTGGTCCCCATTTGTATTCTTTATCTCTTGTTTGCATTCTCTCTTCTTTCTATGTATGGATGTTTGCATCTACACGTGAGGGTGTTGGATAGCTTGATATACATTATTGGTCCATTTCCTAACAGCTTAACCTTTTGGGACAATTGGTAACTTAACATAGACATGTTAACTTACTAGTTTTTTGACAATCAGCAGCAACTTATCTTCACATCTGTTGATTCAATGAGTTCTGCAGCTTTGATTTTGAACTTTACAAGTTTTCATCTATATAAAAAGTCTATGTTCCCTAAATTTGATAGTTACAATTTTTCAATTTTATGGAACTCATATGACTAACTCCAGACTTTGGTAGCCGGCGCAGGTTAGCTTCTCAGAGGGTTCTATCATGAGCAGTTGTGTGAAGCCATTGCTACAAACTGACACAAATCCAGTGGTTCTCCTTCACGGTTTTGACAGGTCTGCATTCTGTGAAATACATACCACTCTTCTGAGAAAAATCAATTATTTCTTGTGTTTCTGCAGTCCATTACTTCTTATTCTTCAGTTCCTGTTTAGAGTGGAGGTACACACTTCCACTGCTTGAGGAAGCTGGTTTGGAGACCTGGGCGTTGGACATTCTTGGTTGGGGCTTCTCCCATTTAGGTTTGTTTTTCCCATCATTTTATTTTATTTTTTCTTGATAAATAAAAGTCTATTGAAGAAACTCATCACGAAGGGATGCTGCCTGTATGTGTATTTAACAAATCCTAAACAGGTCCATACATCAACTTACGTACCCTCTTTTATATGTTGAATTATGTTTTTCTTTTGCATGTATTAGAAAGGCTTCCTTCATGTGATGTGGCCTCCAAGCGTGATCACCTTTATCAGGTACCTAATTTCCTGCTGCTTGAAGGATATCTACTGTTTTTTTGTTTTGTTTTGTTTTGTTTTGGTTTTTGTTTTTTTTGAATGTGTGTAAATCAAGCTCTATTGATTTCTATTAGCTTCCAATAAAACATAAAGCAAAAGGTAGCTATCTTAATTGCTGTTGCTGATACTTTGCTGTCATCCCTAATTCTGCAGAGTAAATTGGTTTTGTTTCATGTTTCATATAGTTTTGGAAATCCTACATCAAAAGGCCAATGCTACTAGTTGGACCAAGCCTTGGTGCAGCGGTTGCAATTGATTTTGCTGTCAACCATTCAGAAGCTGTAAGTATTTTCCAAATGCACCATAAATCCAATTGGGGAGGCTTCCTAGTTGCATCTTGATATAAGTTAGTATAGTTAGTGCTAGTAATTTATGTTTATGGCTTACCATAGGAGGTTCTGCACTTCTACTGCAAATCTTTCAGGTTGAGAAACTGGTTTTGATTGACGCAAGTGTTTACTCAGAAGGCACCAGTAACATGAGGAAGTTACCCAAGGCAATAGCCTATGCTGGGGTGCGCATCTCTATCAATAATTCTTCCCAGTTGTTAGATTGTGCGATACTGGTGCTTTCAGATGGTTTACATTACTCTGATAATCACGTGTGATTGCTTTTATGTAATTGGGAATGTAAGCTTCATCAATTAGTTTTATCTATAGAGGATTACTATCTCATGATTAATTGCTAGCCACACAAACTTGCAATGCTACTACTTATATATATATATATCTTTTCCTAATATCATTCTCCATGTCACATCTAGTATCAGAAAGTGAACAAATCAATGCATTTAAACTTCTTCCAGGCTGCATTTAGGTGGTTTGAACTGCATCTAAAATGACTTCCTCTTTCTCCCAGTCCCCCTAGTGATTGACCAGAGCAATCTTTTTGAGCCATTTGCTTTAGGTTTCATCCCTAAAAATAGAATTTCCGAATTTTAGTGCACCTTGGATTTATGGTAAGATCAGGTGATACAAAATAAATCCTGTATCGTTAGATTTCTCACCTTCAATTGTAAATATGCTACACCATACAACTGATAGGAACTTCTAGATTTTTGCATCTCTGGTCTATCTGAGCATTATTACTTAGTGCATGATGAGTTGCTATAACATGATTAGTCTGCAGAGTGAACTGTCACCTAACAAATTTACGAGAGAAAAAAATGCCTTGTAATTTATCATGACCTTGTGAAATCTAGCTCTATTTCCAGTCTTTAACTCTCAAGTATACACCAAACTGAGTTAGGATTGACTGCTAGATATCATGCATAATAGTGGAGAAAATCTTTGTAATTGAGATACTACATTCTTCCTGGTTTTCCTGAATAAAGTTATTTTGTCATACACTAAAACATACCATTCATTCTATCTACATCTTTATCGTCGGCTATGACTATCTATATGGTACACTGTAGCAGTGCCAGCTAAAATATCAAACTTTTAGCAAAGATATGGCATTTCATGACCTGGAAACACATTTGGACTGCTGTTTCCCTGAAACCAGAGGTAGAAAGGAATAGAAAATTTAAAAAACATAAGCATATCACTGAGTTTAAAATCCGTGTGTGTGTGTGGTGATAGTCAAGGTGATCAAATATTTCTTTTCATTGGGGCAAGAATTTTAAGATGCTTTTGAAAAATAATAAACAAGCACTCTGAAAAGAAAAGCAATTAGATGGAATTCCTTTTTTAAATAATTTTTTGTTTGGCAAGATATTTAGTAGGTGTTTGGGATGCACTAAAAATGTGCAATTTTTTTGCATACATACATTTATTTGGGTCACATCAATCAATATCTATAAACATCTCCTCTTTATTTTTCTACTCACTTTCTTAACTTTTACACATCTTTTTTTTTATAAAAAGTCAAAAAGTGCATTTAATTAGAACATCCCAAACCATCCCTTAGTGTTTAAGCCTTCTGCATATGGCTCTTTGCTGCTGCAACCCAACAATTATGCATCTGCACTAATATGATCACGTAAGCTTGTGTTTAAGTCAATGTTTGTTATCTTTTTGGACATATCATATACTTGTATATTATTGTTTCTCATGAACAGGTTTATTTGTTGAAGAGCATCCCACTGCGGTTATATGCAACTTTTTTGGCCTTCAATGGCTTACCATTTGGTACCTGCTTAGACTGGACTAATGTAAGTGTTTACTATAATAGTTAGTACCAAAAATATAATACAGTGTTGAAACGTTTATAGTTGATTTTTTTTTTTTTTTTGGATCTCATGCTGTTCGTCTTTCTGCGTGGTACTAGGTGGGTCGTCTACATTGCTTATTGCCTTGGTGGGAGGATGCTACTGTGGCTTTTATGAATAGTGGAGGTTATAATGTGAGCTCCCAGATCGAACAGGTAAGAAATTTTTTTGCTATTCTAACCAAGAACTATTGATTGTCGTTGCATTTTGTGTATGAAAAACACGAGTCCTGTGGTTCAGAAGATGTGTTCAAAAAATATAATTGTGGTTGATAGCTGTGTGTATTAGACTCTGTTTACATGGATCGTGTTTGTTGGTGTAGCCTTGACTTGCAATTTTTATATTATTGTGGCAGACAAAATATCTTGACATATATGCTGAAGGCATTGAAATTGTAAAGAAGTATGTGCAAAGGCCCTGATTAAGGGTTCCACACTGCTTTCTTTCATTTCTTTATTGTCTGCATAACCAATTTGGCCATTTTGATGTTCCTCTTCTTTTGAAACAGAATTTCAGCTTAAAGTCTGGCAGAAACCTGTTTGCTAAATATATTTCAAATATATCTTTTTGTGCGTTCAAGAACGTAATTTTGTTAGGGCACTCGTTTATTGTCACTTCCAGCGGCTGCTATTTTTAATTTGACCGACAGAAATATATAAATGGCATGCATCCTGTTTTAAGCCAGCATTTTCTTGGTTTGAGCCAACATTTTCTTCCAGCAGCTGCTGTATATTATTGATTTATGGATTTGGAAAGAGGAAAGGAAATGGTAAGGGAATGTGAATGAAATGAAAGTTAAAATTTTTCTTCATTTTCCTCATCTTTTCCTTTCCATTTCCAAATCCCTACCCAAATCTATGATCCGAACGCAGCCTAGGTGTACATTTATGAAATAACATTAGACTAGAGTGGCTGTATTGTTTAAGCTGAAGACATGGTAAGAATCTGTCATAGGCCTGCTGTTTGTGTGCTGCACATTTCTTAGTTTGTCTGCATGGATTGCCTCTCTTAGGACACTATCATATGCATTCAACTGTTTGACAAACATAAAATGCATATTCAATAATAAAATTTTGGAAGTGACATGCAACTATAGTAGTTCATCTTTGGTTTTAACCATGGTTAAAGTTAGGATCCTAGAGGGTCTCGTGGGTATGATCATAATTGTAAGATTCGACTTTCCATAAAAAATAAGGTGAAAAATTACCAGTAATTCAAATAAGGTGGAGAATATTCAGTCCAATTATTCTACTTGCGATACTGCTTTAATGCCGATTTTACTCGGCAGTCTAGGATCGTAGGATCAATCCTATGAAAAGGGTCGTGATTTTGTTAACCATGGTTTTACCTCATGAAGAAGGTGGAGACAAATTCCCAAACAAAGGCCTAAACTTAAAGTATGTTTATATGCCTTGGATTTTAATTTTAATTTTTTTTCTTTCTCTCTCTCTCTTTTAGACTTTCTGTGCTATTGACCATTACACTATGCAGGTAAAGCAGAAGACACTTATAATATGGGGTGAAGATGATCAAATTATCAGTAACAAACTCGCAGTGGTTAGTACTTTCTTGAGGTTTTCTGGTTATAGGCTTGAGTTGGAAATACAGCAAAAGATAAATTAGTCCTCTATTGTTGTAATTTGTAAAACATGCTTGACGAAGAAATTTGCTCATATGTTACTTTATTCTATTCAATGAGATAATTTACCACCCTCAAGTTTATGTATCTACCTTTTGATTGTTTAGTAGCTACATTACCTGGGATTAATTGATTTCTGAGGCTCTTTTGAATTGTTTAATGCAGAAGTTGCACTGTGAGCTGCCAAATGCCATAATACGCCAAGTGCCAGATTGTGGCCATATCCCACACGTAGAAAAGCCCAGTGTTGTTTCCAAGTTGATTGCGGAATTCAGTTGTCAAGACGATTGCTAGTTGGAAGCTAATTGTGCATCACAGTATTAGAGCTTTACTCTCTGTTTTTCTGTTTAAATTATCTTGATCTTAGTTTGTTGGTTGCATTGCATTCATTGCCTTTTGATGATTTTTCAAATTTGAAACCAGTGACAATTTTATGCACTATATATACCAGTGGTCCCGTTTGATAGAGCTGTCGAAAGTGATTATAATTTATAACTTAACAACTTATAACTTATATATGTAAACATAAGTTGATTTTTGACTTATAAATTAAGTTTTTTCTCCCCCACTCAAAGAATAAGTTGATTTTTGACTTACAAAAAGATATAAACTGTATTGTTAACTTGAATCAAATACATCAAAATAGCTTAAATTAAGCTAAAAGCTGAAATAAGCTAAAAATAAGTCCTACCAAACAGAGCTAATGATGATTTTCCATTATTTTTTGCTTCCACTTTTTACCACTTTTAAGGTCTTCATATATGTTTTTTCTGATGAGCACAATTAGTAATGTTGTCATCATGGAACATTAAAAAAAATAAAAATCAGAAAGAAGTAGCTGAAGTAAGCATAATAATTACAGTGTGATACATTTGAATCACTGTGCCACAAAAAGAAAAAGAAAAAAGAAAAAAAAGGAGGTTCTTTAGCTATATAGCATACAAAGAATAAGCAGGTTTTCTGTATTGGCAGCCTCTCTGCCATAAAGAAATGGGACTAATACTGTTGTCTGAATTTTACTCTAGATTTTATTTAACAAAACAAGATTAAAAAAACAGTAAAGAATGAGAAAGGGAAAATCAGTGTCATATGATTAAGTTTGTAAATATGATCTTTCTATTGTAGCTTTTGGTCTTTTTTGAATGAACTAACAGGATCAAACCAGTAACTGATTTGATTGAATGTGGTGGTTGAGAGATAGATAGATATATCCTGCAGAGGCTGCTCAATGTGTAATGTAGTAACAATGCATCAGTTTTAAATATGGATTTTTTTTAACCATAGGAACACTAAGAACATCAAATTGTTTTTTTAAATAATGCTAATGCTATGGGGAATGGGAAAGGGAGTTGGCAGTAATTGAAACTTGCCTGCTAATGTGGGTACTAGTAGTATAAGAAGAACCTAATCACTGGGTCAAATTTTTTTTTTTTCCTCTGTTACAATTGATTTTACCATAAAACAAAGAAATAAAATAAAATAAAAAATCTAAACTCTATCGGACAACAAATAACACTTCGAATTCAAACATGAATGAGTTGTTTTTGTATCCAGTAAAATATTTATCTACGGTTACATAAATAATCAAAGATGTTGGTGGTGAACCTTCAGAATAATTTCCCGCTTTCACCTAGCTCATGTATGATCATCAATTTTGTAGGAGCACGAAATAATCTGACTCGTACAATCTTGTTGATCAAGTTTGTACTCCTTCAAACGTCATCCTTCTATCACCTGAAAACACAAACGTGAGCTAGTCAATAAGTGTGTGCCGGAAACCCCTCTGATGCATAAGTTCGCAAATAGACCACAGACACAAAAGCTCTGTGAATTCGGGAGTATGAATTGCAATACCTGTGCATAGGTTTTGTCATGAGTTTTTATAGATTCCGCCTAGCACAATCCTAGTAAGACTCTAACTCTCCTTAGTGGAGTTCTCCTAGGAGTCACATGCCCAAGGATAATGCTTATCCTTAGAACACCCTTATCACTGCAAGCCAAGTGAGATAGCAAACTCTCCCCTCGGGTAGCTATGCTCTATCGAGTTACCATGTTTCGGTTCATTGCTGACCGTGCCGCATGTCAGTCCTCCATACGAGCTATGCTGAGCTATGGGTAGCTAGGCCTTCAATGTTTCCTTCTCGCCCATGTCGATGGCAAGCAACTAATCTATCTCAACTGTTGTCTTGGTGTTTGTTTTAAACCTAGTAACAAATGCCTCCGCAAGTTGTGCCCAGGAAGCAATATTGCCTTCTGGCAACTTTTCGAACCAAATTAAGCCAAATCTCCAAGGCTAGATGGGAACAGAATGCACATCAAATCCTCGTTCCTTCAGTGTATGGCCATAACTCGGCGAAAGTGACTTAAATGCATGTCAGGATCTGATTTCCCATTGTAGATTGCGAACTTAGGCAGGTTGAAGCCCAAGGGTAGTGGTGTGTTCTCTATCATCGGAACGAACGGTGAGTTCTACAACCTTGCTAACGCTTTGTTTGCTGGTTCGTAAGCAAGGCGTGACATTGGCATTCCAACCTCGACATTTCCATGCGTTCAAGGAGCTAGCCGCTGCGGAGCAGAGATCTTTTGGGGGTCATGTGCCTAAGCGTCTTCCTTCCTTCGAGCCCTTTCTTTTAGCACGGTCCGCAGGTTCACCGATCTAGGCAACTTGGTGCCTCGAGAGGTGGTTTGGTGTGTATGTGAGGGTCAATAACTGCTTCCCTCCGTGTAAGACCTTTCAATCCTCGTTCTCTCAGACCTGGAGTAACAAGTCCTAGAAGTTGTTGATTGTGTGTCGCCTATTCTAAGGCTTTTGCTTTCAGAATGCAAAGGCGTGGCTTGCTTGTCGTGATTTCCTGAGTGGCGAGAACTCATTTTCCCTTCACGGATTTCCACCCCTGACACACTTTTGCTCTTTATCTTGTGTTTCAAGGCATTCATATCTGCGGCCATTCTCTTGATTAACTTGTCTTGCTCCCTCACACGATCTTCCAAAGTCTAGGAATTCGTCATCCTCCTTTGTCCCTCCGGGCTTTGAAAGCAACGAGGACTCAAGCCTCGCTTTTCTCTTCCGCCACTGAGGGTCCAAATCCGCCATCGGTGGAGCAAAAGGCAAATTGTCATGCCTTTTGTTCCCTTCTGGCATTGAGGAGCACCGTTGTTTGGAGTTCGAAAAGAGATTGAGGATCGGGCTCATGTTTAGAGTTGTTGGGTTCATGATTAGAGATTATGGGCGCCTTGTGGAGGCTACAGTCCATCTTGAGACTATCATGCACGCAGAGGAGGAGAGGATGAGGGGCTCTAAGAGGAGCCAAGATAACCAGGGGGACAACAAGAGACAGAGGGGTTCTAACCCTCCGCAGTTCCAAGGAGCACAGTCGAGATCTACCTTTCTAGTGCCGAGTTCGGGTTCTAGGAGAGATGGTCAGGGTGATGTGACTTGTTTCAAATGTGGTCAGTTGGGCCACAAGTCTCCAGTTTGCCCATAGAGAGGGGGAGGTCAGCGAGCAGCATCGTCTTCGGTTCGTTCTTAGGGCCAAGGCCAAGAGAGAGGCCATCCGCTCACTTGTTATTAGTGTGGGTAGACGGGGCACTTGAAGAGATTTTGCCCACATTTGGATGGCACACCTAGTGCGTTTGGTTTGAGACAAACACAGAGTTACCAGCCTGCACAGTCAGCACAGACGTCGAGGGCCAATCAGGGAGCCTCTTCGGCTCAATCCGTGCAATAAGGCTATACTCTGAGGGGTGAGCAGGTAAATCAGAGGCCAACAAGGCGTGTGTATGCTGTTACCGCGCCAAATCTTGTACCAGCTTCATCTGTCGTGAAAGGTACCTTCTTCTTTTGCAATTCAATTGCCAGTGTGTTGATTGATACAGGTGTATCCCATTCATTTATTTCGTTTGCATTTACATCGGTTTTGGGGTTGGAGTTGGCACAGTTAGCATCTCCTATTTGTGTAGAGTCACCTATTGGTGGTGAAGTTATTTTGAAACAGGGGTGTCAGGGTTATGACATAGAAGTTGCTGGTCGTCGACTTCCATTTGCATTTGTTTTGCTTGATATGACTGGTTTTGATGTTATTTTGGATATGGACTGGTTATCGTCATACCGGGCTGTTATAGATTGCTATATCAGAAGGTTACTGTATGTACCTTAAGTGGGGATTGTTTTTATTTCTTAGGAGACCGGGTGGATAGAGTCTTATCCCTGGTATATGATTCGCGTGGGCGGAGTGAGCTTAGTTGTCTTCTTGCTAGCTTTCAGAGTGGTAAGTGTGATGAAATTAGGGTTGAGTTGCCAAGGGTGGTTTGTGAGTATCCAGATGTCTTTCCCGAGGATATTACTAGTTTACCACCTTACTGAGAGATAGAGTTCTCTGTTGATTTAGTGCCTAGCACGACACCAATTTCTATGGCACCATATCGATTTGCACCAGCTGAGTTGAGTGAGCTGAAGATTCAACTCCAGGAATTGTTAGACAAGGGCTTTATCCGCCCTAGTACATCACCTTGGGGATCACCGGCTCTCTTTGCTAAGAAGAAAGATGGAGTGTTGCGACTTTGCATAGATTATCGAAAGTTGAACCGGGTTACGGTTAAGAACAAGTATCCGATGCCTCGTGTAGATGACCTATTTGATCAGTTGAAAGGGTTTTGTTGCTTCTCTAAGATAGACCTGAGATCGGGTTATCATCAGTTGAGAGTAAGGGAGGAGGATATCCCAAAGACGGAATTCTGTATGCGGTATGGCTATTACGAGTTCTTAGTTATTCCTTTTGGGCTAACCAATACCCCAGCTGTGTTTATGGATTTGATGAACCGAATCTTCTGAGAGTTCTTAGACCGT